TGATTCGGCTAAAAACGTGCCGTTTACCGTATAGACTTGGTCAACGCAATCACGATTAATCTTTTTCTCTCTCTCTCTCGTGCTCTTTCCATGGACATATACGCTCTTCGCTCTCTATCTATCTCTCTTTCTATGAATAGTGATGCAGATCAAATTTGTCGTTACACGTCACGTTGTACGGCGGACATTAATTACGTTAGGGTAAACTCGTCGTGTTCAGAATCAACCGAGCGTATCCCACCATATGTATTACGATATTGGAGCGGACTGATTAGCGGGCCGCTCTATATGTATTGGCTCTTCCACACCCTTCTTCGTCTCCACACCCTTCTATATCGGTCTACTCTCACCCTCCGTCCATTGGTTGGAATTGTTGAAATCGTTGCCGCTCGATAATTAACGGCCACTTATGGATTTAGAGTGAGGTCAGTGTCACGTTGAGCTCGCTACGAGCTCGTTACGTAAGAACAGTCTTTTCACACGAGGGCACAATTGTACACACAGTGCGCATATACGTGTGTGCACACGCGTGTATATACACGCGCCTTTATGCGCCGAGCGTGTTCGGTTACAATGGAACAAGTTCATCGGTCGCCGTTGATTTCGTGATGATCTCATTATTTACAGTGATGAGCGGATGAAATTTATGCAAGCAAATTAATTTCTTTTTCTTTTCTTTTCTTTTTTTTTTTTTTTTTTTTTTTTTTCTTTCGCAACTTTTTGTTCGAAAGAAAAATATAAGGAATTAACTGTGTAATTGGAAATAATGAATTAATATGTTTACACGTGTATGATAATAATGACTGAGCAATATGTTGATTATCCCGATATATAATCGACGATTCTCGTATTTGAGATAGGAAAACGATATGTATCTATCGTGTTACTGTGTCTGGATTGAGGATGCTCTTTCCATCTACGTATTATACAACCTGCAACATACATTCATATATTATAATACGTGTATACGAGCTATTGTACTTGACCTTATTTTCGAGTTGCAACCCATTTTTGTGCTCTAATAATCCTTTGGACGGATTATTAGTTAATGTAATTTGCTTAATTGTAAGAATCGTTTACCAATAAATGATCTTTTTTTTTTTTTTTTTTTTTTACACATCATCAGTAACTTTAATATGACTCTTTAAGCGTTGATTTATAGAAATCATTCGCGTCATACATCGTTGCACACGTTGATGTTATTCCTTGAAAAAATAATTTTGAATTAAATACAGATTTAAATGGAATGATATTTTATTTGCCCATTGATAAAAAAGTAATTAAATAAATTTGAAAATTACTTACTTATATAACTTAATCGTTACCTTGTATCCAAAAGACTTTTTATTATTTATCAGATTATTATTTGATAAGCTCTTATAATTCTTTAATAACGAGCTTCCCAATTAAGAATTTTTTCAATTATTCAAAATAAAATAAATTAATCTTACAAAACACACATGCATATTAAATCAAATCAATATTCCATTCCTAAATGATTAATGTAGTAAGCGTGTAAAAAGTGATCACGTGATCATAGATAAATCGGGAAAGGAAAGAAAAACGCAACGCAAAAGAGAAGGAGAGAAAATTTGTAATAGTTGAATGAGCTGAATTCATTGCATCGGGGATATAATTTTGACTCGGATAGATATGGTTGGCATTCGACAGATTACCAAGGAGTTCTCTTAACCGTAGCGAGAGTGAGATCAGCAACGCCACGATACTCGATAAATCAGCTTGGCTGCCGGTGCCAACAGAGAATGCCTGAATTCTGGCCACGTGATCCGTCAACAGCGAAGTTGAACCGCTAATGTCGAGCTACCTCTCTTCTCGAATATATATTCACTACTGGTGAAAATCGACGGGCGAGTTTTGACGATGCGATTTGACCGCGACAGACAGATATCAACCAAGCGAAACTGACTCGCGACCTATTTTTTTCTTCTTCTTCTTTTTCTATCTCCATAGTCATTTCTCTCCTTTTCTCTCTTGCTTTTTTTGTCGCCTCATGCTCGCACAATTTTTTTTCTCGCGCACACGACCGCACAACGAAACCTTCGTTACCTTGACACTGTGCGAAAACAATTATACGTATTTCATACGTATACACGTGACGCTGGCAACGATAAGTTTTATCCGACGTTCCTTCTTTTTTTTTTTTTTTTTTTTTTTTTTTTTTAATCTTTTATTCTTTCTCCAGTTTTTCTCATATAGGAATGCCATTAACTCGTTTAATTTACGAAGCTCGCTCGTTTTAATCGAACGATAATGGTTATGGCGTATCGAGAAGGATAAACAAGAATCTTTGATCGAATTATGAAAATCGGTACGGGGAATAAATTGATTTTAATTCACGGTGGCAAAAAAAATGGCGTAAAAGTATATATAACAGAATTTCATTGGATCGTGGATGCGTTTCAGACTATTTCACGTCGCTCGATTTACAAGTAATTAATGAAACACTCGAAGGCAATATGTAATTCGTTCGATTAGCGACGAATATAATTTCTATCGCATACTGAATTACAGGATATACCACGATCCGTTATCAGCCGTCACGTAACGAGGCGGAATATTTTAATAATAAACAGGAAAATACTCGACTACGTATTTGCGTGTATTTTGCGTGCCTATATCGCTTTTTGGTAGATTTCAACATCAATACGAGACACGGCAAAACGGTAATGCTCTTAATTAAATAAAACATTATCCGGCATAGCGTGAAGATTTGCATTTACATTTTTATCTCGTTCGATTAGCTTGGTTCGTTTTCAGATACACGCTAGATAAATTAATTTCGGAATTCGCTTAAATTGCTCGTTAACCCGTGTACTGTTCATCCAATTGTAATTTGCAACACAAAATATCATATCACAGAATATATTTAATATTAATTATTTAATGTTAATTTTTATATTCACGTCTCTTTTTTTACGTTATCTTTTGCGCCAGTAATAAAATATTTTTTTGGAACGACGAAGAAAGCAATAATAAGATGTTGTAAGGAGTTGTATCGTTGTATGCTCGTGAATCGATACGGAAACGACAAAAGGGATGTGTATCGATGATGGTCGAAACACGGTCGTGCACCTGCACGGCGAATTGACCCAGTTCTTCTCGTTTATAATTTGAACACAGAGGAAGGCGAACGCTTTACTTTCAGATCCCTTGCTGTGTCTCGGATTAATCGGTTTTGTTGATCACGTTGGAATTGAATTAAAAACCTCAACGTGAAACGTAATCAATATCTGCAATTTCATACTTCGAGAAAAGGAAAGAAAAATATATGATTGAGTGGACGCGATTACACAGTTGCTTGACGTATAACTTGTTTGTCCTATATCTTGGTAATAAGTTTATTGGATGAAATTTTAAGAAAGGAACAAAAGGGGAAAGTATGAAAAGACGGTTAAGCAAGAATCGAAATGTAAAAAGTACGAATGAAAAACACTTCATAAAAAGAGTTTTCAATCGTTTCAAATTTTGTATTAATGATATTGAGAAAAGGAAATTAAAATAATTTTTTAAAAACAGTAATAACTTCTCATTAATTTAAAAAAAGTAATATCGATTATTTTTCTATTTTTTTTTTGTCTCGTTTCTTTTTTCAAGTTAAACTACAATTATTTTTATGCGGAAACGATAGTATTATCTACAATAAACGTTGCAAACAGTGGCGGAATAATGGCGGCACTTATTCCCAAATCATCTGAATTACACGTATACCTTGAAAACAGCGCGTAGAATGTGTCCATCAAATGGAAAAGACGGAGCTATGAAAATTGGCGAGAAATATTTACATCTGAAAATAATCTTACTTGCATGATCGAATGATGATCGTCTTAACCGTTGTATTTACATCTTTGTAAAAAGTTTTATTGCCTGATTCCTTTCCTCTCCCTTTTTTTTCTATTTGGATTATCATTTTTCTTTTTATTTTATTATTTTATTTTTACAAAAATACTTTATCGATTAATATGGATCAATTAAAATACCGGTTAAACATTTGCAATTTTTTTGTTTACACATTTAATATTTGCCTTATTCTTATTCGTATAAAAAATGTATCATTTATAATAAATTTATCTTGTAAGAATTAATCACACAAATGTCGATAACTCGTTTGTTAATCGACATTTTATATTTATTCATATTAATTTTTTAATACATCGTACATGTATCCAAAAACTTTAAAACAATTGTAGAAGAAATTTAAATCATATATATAAACATCTGAAAAGAAATTTTTTTGGCAAGTTTGTCTATATCTTATTTAATAATATTAAAAAATGAATTCATCTATTTTTATAATTTTTCTTTATAATATGCTGAAATAATCATTTCTATAATAGTATTAGTTTTTAAGAAATTATTATCCATTTTTGTTTTCAATTGTTTAATGCTGGTGGCATTAAAAAATTTATATGAAAACAAGACTTGAAGATGGTAACAGAAAATATAAACAATGCTGCCATGATACATGTTTACTTTCGGATAATTTTTGGACAACGGCCAGCATCGTTTCACGCTCAGCACGTCAATTTGGTACTGGCAAGCAGCCGAAATTTTCGTCAAACAGATGTCCGAATGACTGTTATTATCCGCTTGTTACAAACGAGAGCGGAGAATACTTAATCTCAGCGTTAGTAATGCCCGCCAAAAGAGAAACATTGTTGTCATATGTAAAAGCCAACTCTGATGTGTTAGATTGATTTGAAATTGTATTTCCCGCGCAAATATTTTATTGAAATTTAATATTTTATATTTTTTCAGTAAATAAATTATTTCATATAAATCTGAATCTTCTTTTTGTAAAGAAAAATCAATTTTTAAATCATATTTAAATTTTTTTTGTATTGATTAAAATAAATAATGACATTCTATTGATAATATAAAATTTGTATCATTTAAATTGATTTTGAATACACATTATGTCAAACTATTAAAATATTTTGAACTGTTTTTTTTTTATACATATTTTGAATATCTTGAATAGCTTGAATATGTTTTTATGTTTTTCTATTTGTCATTTGATAAATCAAAATGATATAATATAGAAGACGATCATTTAAAATCCACTAATTCAAATCGCATGTGCATATGAACTCGCACATTAACATTGCGATTGAATATATGCGAACTATAGTAGCTGAATTAGAGTTTGATCGTGTCAACACTGAACGAATAGATGTGGCAACGTTGTGCGAACGAGTTTAGTAGCCGGCTAGCCAAAGCATGGAGTAGCCGACCGGTGGAACGTCCGCATGTCCGGGAACGACCTTCTTTTACTCGTCCTGTGTCGGGGAATTCTGTCTCTTAGATTGCAAATAATTCTTTATTTTTTTTAAATTAAAAATTTGTTAGATATAAATTTAAAATGCAATATACATTTTTCTATTGTAAAAACAAAATATCAAAAAATAAAAAGTTTTAAATATTTTTTATATAAAATTTTTGAAAATTTTATCAAAAAAATTTTTCTGTCTATATAATTATATTAAATCATTTAATTAAAATTATTACAAAATAAATAATAATATATTGAATATTTGCAGAATTTTTAGATAAGCATGTAAAGCAATAAAGAGTTTAACATTTGATAGTAACAAACATTTTTTTCTCAACTAATGATACATTAAAAAATAAAAACATTTACATACCTATTATTTTTTAAATATATTCATAAGGCAAAAATTTATTAATTCACTTCAGCTGCAAGAAGCATGTAATCTAACCGCGGTACATGTCCTAGGGGGTTTCACTTCGCAGTTGGCACACGTGCGCAGGTAGAGTATGGCTTTTGCTAGGTGGTAGTTTTTTACACAGTGAGTTCTAGTGGCTTTTTCCCATCGTTTCTTTGGTAGCCAACTGTACCAGAGAGAGGAAGAAAGAGAATGAGAAAGAAAGCAAAATAGAGTAAGCGAATACACGGTTATTGAAAAAGGAAAGTAATACTTTAAGTTGAGAAAGAGAAGTCAGGGTTCAAGCTTCGTTCCTTCCAGCTGGCCTAGCACGGCAAAGGAGGCCTTGTCGCGCGGCTGCTCGTTCGGTCAATGTCTTCTCTTTCTTCCTCACTCTTCCTCTCTACCTTCCTCGTCGTTCCCCTCTCTTCTCTTTTCATCCCCCACTTTCTACTCGATTTCTCCCCCTCTCTTTTGCTCCCTTCACCAGTACCTCGCTCACTGCCTCTTTCATTCTCCCCACTATTCGTGTGCTGCATCGCGCACACGAGACATGGTGCTGCTTGTGAATCCTACTGTCATCTTTGCAAACGCCCGTCTGTCTTAAAGAGCTTAAATTCGGATAAAGTTGATCTAACACGAACGTATATCTGATAGATATTCTCTATTTCAAGAATAACGGAATCTGCGTTTATTACGATAACGGTATTTAGGTGCACATAGGGGAAACTGAGAGAAAAAAACCAGGAGGAGGGGGCAGAGCGCCACCCGTTCAGAAATGTGCACTGACATCGCGGTTTAAAGGCACCGACGGAAAGGCGTTCTCATACGGCTTTTTCTATTGTGCGCGTAGAAGTTTCTATCTTATGCTTCTTACACGAGCTTGATGATTCGCTGATATTTCTAGTGATAAAAAAATAAATTATCTAACTTATTTATATGCAAGTGTAAACCTGTGGCAAAAATCGTGACGTGTTTACCATACGTGTTGAATATAATTATTTGCTAGTTGATCAAACTTTATACGTGTTGAATATAAACGGATATTTCAACGGAATATACTAATATTCCAAGTTTATTAAGTACAATGAATGGTCACCAGGAATGAAATTTGATTATTTTAATTTCCGCCTGTGCAGTTAGCGATTGCACAAAGCTATCGTAAGAATTATATTACATTTATCACGATACCTGCTTGCAACAGCATCCTCAATTTCATGTAAATAAGGCCTGTTCTCTTAGAATGAACTCTTGCATTCTTAAAAATATATTTTTTAATCATTAAACTTATATTAAACTCTATATCATATTTCAATGTTTTCTATTTCTAAAAATAAATATTAAATTTTTGTCGAAAATAAAAAAAACTTAAAATTAAAAAATAAATTTTTTTAACAAATATAATAAATAAAATTTTTTTTATTTCTTATGTATTTCATCAAACAAAAATGTAATTTAAAATTTTTTATAATTTCAGAGTGCAATAAAGCTAGCTGGCAAAAATAATGTCAAAAAATTACATACATTACTATCAATAGTGGAAGAGAAACCAAAGGTGGATATAGGACAAAATAATAGACACAACGAGCATCACATCAAAAATCATTTCAAGCATAACCATTATACACACAATTCCATACTGACACCTTCTACGATAAACCAGGTAATTCTTTTAAAAATCATGTGTAATTAATATTTTTAATAAAAAAAAAAAGAAAATTATCCAATTTGGTTTTTTGTTTCTATCACAGGGCCTAGATGCAGGTACAAGTGACGATAGTGGTAGAGCATCTGAACAATTGCATGGCCCTGGTATACCTAGGGATTGCCAGGACGCAGACAGTTCCAGGGACCACCTCAGCGATGTAAGTATTATTTTGTATTATTGTATACATAAGTTGAACATACAATTATACAATCAAAGTTCATAATTTTATATAAGATTTTGCGATATTTATTTTTTATAATTGAATAAAATTATTATTTGAATCAATTCTCATCCTTGTGTAATTTTCATTGATTTTATAGGCTAGCAGTCATTGCAGTTCGGGTAAAGGTTATATCGTAAGTATTAAAAACATAAAATTTAAATTTTATTTCTAACTTGCTCAAGATTATCATAAAACTACTTTATTTTTTATTCTCTTATTATAGTGTGATAGTGAAGGAGAAGACGATAAGGTAAGTAATAATATCACAAAAAATATATAGTAAAAAGTAGAAAATCATTTAATAAAAATCATTATTTTAGGGCTCGGATGCTGAATCGATACTCTTTGAATCTTCTACCCCACCACCCCTTGCACGTAAATGTATGTAATATTTAAGCCAATAATATTTTTTTTTGTTAATTGTATTTTTTTTTTGTTGTTTTTTTAAGTATTCATGTGAAATCAACTCTTATCTTATATTGTAGACGAATTGCCATCATCTTCACCACACGTTTTGCCTCCAGCAAACGGAGCAGGAGGTTCACCTCCAGACACGGGTGGACAAATTTCAAATCCAGCAACGGATGCTCCGGCACCTATACCACCTCCTGTGCCTGCGTCTGCACCAGTTCCAACAGCGCCAAGTCCTCCCAGTCCTACTCTACCCCCTCACATATCCCAACCACCTGTAAGTAAATATTTGCTATTTACTATTTCTATAAATTTTACTATGAATAATAAACATCCGATTAAATATTTTCAGATGACTAGTCCATTGGCAGCAAATCCACGTGCAATAGCTCCGCAACAGCGGCCAGCTTCCCCTGCTCTGCCACCTCCTTCTTTGTCCCAACCTCATACTACAATACCTGCACTACATCCACCCAATGTACCCCTTGTTTCGTCAAGTCATACAACTAGTCCTGCAGTAGCCAGCTTAGGCGTTACCCCAGCGGCACCATCAAACGGAGCTACAACTACTAGCTATCCACCGTCGATACCCATGGCTGCTTATCCTCAAACTCAACCATCTTATCCACCTCTTTATACACCATATACTGCTTTAAATCACAGTCCATACCTTCCACCTGCAGTTCCATCTCCCTCCCATTCTGCTTCTTCACGAGCAGAAGTGGTAAGTTGTATATGCTACTACATAATATGGAGTTGAAAAATTTATTTGCATTTATACATAAATATTATTATGTATAAAAACATTTTGGTAATAGTTAAATTACATGCTAACCTTAATAATCTTCATTTTTAGAGAGGAAGTAGAGCTTCCCCATGTACTAATATAAGTAAACAACAACCTATAGGGAATAATACCACAAATCATAATACTCCTCTGAGCGCTGCCACTACGACATGTGTATCTACAATAACTAATACAGTTACTACAGCAAATACCATTGCTCACAGAGATATGGTAGCTTGTAGTTTAACTGGAAGAAACAATAATTCGCCTCGTGGGCATAGTCCGAATCGAGAAAGAGATAGTTATAGGTATAATCTTGTAATCATAAATATTTTTATTGTTTGTCGTAATAAAAGTTTTATAATAATGTTACTTATTATAGCAGTAATGTCAGTAGCCTAAGTCGAGGTAGCATAACGCCTGTAAGTGTGCCAAACACATCTTCTCCAGCCAATTCTAGTCTACCTGCATATACCAAACCACAAGGATGGATCGGGTATGAATAAAATCATAATTTGTTAAACAATTTCTTCATATTTTATTCATATATTTTCATATATAATTTACAGTAGCAGCACAACTTCACAATTGTCTCCAGCAACAGCAACGTCAGTTCCAAGGCCAACTCCTCCACCAGTACCACTTGGCATGCACACGTTTCCGCCGCCAATGTTTGCAGCACCCTTACCACCTCCTGTGTCTAGTTCCAGTCCACATACGTCACTGCCTTCATTACCACCGCCAACGACTAATCCTAATCCATTCTCTGCCGAGTCACTTTTTCAAACAAGTAAGTTTATAAACTATTTTTCAATTTTGTTTGGGATTCGAGTAACAGAGAGAGAGAGAGAGAGAGAGAGAGAGAGAGAGAGAGAGAGAGAGAGAGAGAAGAGGGTAGAATAAAAGTTCGAAACGAATGAGACACTAACCGAAACAAGGGGTGACTCATGTCGCAGGTCAGGCAGACCTGTTAAGGCGAGAGCTTGACAATAGATTCTTGGCATCCCAAGACAGAAACGTTGGAGTCGGAGTTGGCAATTTGGGTCCGCCCCCATATCTTAGGACAGAGATGCACCATCACCAACATCAGCACACTCATGTACATCAACATACTACACCTTTGCTTCCACCAACGGCAGCAACTACTTTATTTCCGCCTCCTATAGTACGTAATATATTTTATAATTTTTTTTTTTCGAATATAACGTTTATTATTATCGCACTTATGAATAATTATATTCTTAGTTCAAGGACATTCCGAAATTAGGAGGTGTTGAATCCCCATTTTTTCGTGGAAATCTAAATCTTTCTAGTTATTCTGGCTTTAATACTGGTCTCTTACATCCCGGAATTGGTCCACCTTCAACTCCTTTTGTACCTCCCAATCATTTAACGTCATTTGCACCAAAGGTAATTTTTATAAATTATAAATAAATATAAATTAAAATATTTTTATAAATTATCCAATATATTAAATATAATTTGTGTATTTAATGCAGAAAAGTGGAAAATGGAATGCAATGCATGTTCGCATTGCTTGGGAAATTTATCATCATCAACAAAAACAACAAGCGGAAGCAAAAGCAGGAAGTGTCGTTAATACTAAAACAGAACTCCTACGACCACCAGGTCATCTTTATGCAGCAGGTCCAGGAACTGGTCTCGGAATAGGAGCATCTCCTATGGCACCACCATTTCCTACTAATATACCACCGGCACATCCTGCACCACCTCCACCTCATCCAGTTGGTTTTCTATCTACACCAGCATCACATTTAGGTAATTTACCATTAAATCGTACATGTGAAATTATTAAGTTAGTGAAATTATTAGAAATACAATGATTATATTAATATTATATTGATTACATTAATATGTTAAAAATGATTTCAGGAACTGGAATGTCACCATTTGGAAGATATCCATCAACATTTGGTGCACCTAATCCGAATTTTCCTGGTCTTTCTAGTTTTCCTCCATCGAGAGAAATGCCACCATTAAGTGGATTGGGTTCTGTTCATGATCCATGGAGAGGGTATGTTTTTAAATATTTTTTTGTACAAAAAATATATAAATTATTTGTTTTTTCTTCTTTTCTTTTTAGGTTACAAAGAGCCTCTGCTGGCTTTCCACCAACCACAGCAGTATCATGGAGTCTAAAACCAGAACCACCTGCAATTGATAGACGAGCTGAACTTGAAGAACGAGAACGCGAGCGAGAACGCGAACGTGAGCGTGAGCGAGAACGTGAACGTGAACGCGAACGTGAACGAGAACGAGAACGCATAAGACGTGAGAAAGAAAGAGAAAGGGAAGAACAACGCGAAAGAGAGAGACGGGAACGTGAAAAAGAAGAAAAGAGAAAACAGCAGGAAGCTGCTGAACGAGAAAGGGAAAGAAGAGATAAGGAACGTAGAGAAATGGAAAGACGCGAAATGGAACGTGAAAGGTTACTTCATCAAAATCGACAACATGTAGTCGTTGGTCGGGAACGATCACCTCTAAGAAATGGATCAGCACCTATAGATGCTGGTGAAGTACGCGTTAAAGAAGAACCACGAAGTAAAGATGATGAAGTAGTAATGCTTCCAAGGCCACCAGGTCCTGGCCCTGGAGCAGCATCTGCAGCAACAGGACCTGGTCCGAGTCCACTGCCTGACACAAGATATCATCATCCTCATCCTCATTCATACCTTGCAAGGCATCCGCATAGTATGCCTGCACCGCATTCCATGCCACGAAGTATGCTCCCTGCCTTGAGTGCACATCCAATGCAACATTTTCCACCTCCATCCGCACCGACTGGTCAACCAGGAGGTCCTTGGCCTGGGGATCCTTTTAGGGATTATCGTTATGATCCTTTACAACAATTACGTTATAATCCATTAATGGCTGCTGCTGCATTCCGAGCAGAGGAAGAAGAAAGAGCTAAACTTTATGCTGGATATCCACCGCCACCTGTAAATTCTTTAAGAAGTAAGGATCCAAGTCCTGGTCCATTGAGTAATTTGCATATGCATCATAGAGCAGGACCTGGACCAGGGGTACCAACACGACAATTAGAGCCTGCTTTAATGCATGCGGATATACATAAAAAGGAGGATGCCTCCCAATCTCGATGATATATCCTCCCTACGTCCTCGGCTTCTGCAAGTGAACGCACTAAAGGGTCAGCATTCTGAGCATTTGCGTAAAGTATCCAGGCCCCGGTGCTAATATTTTGCTAATGGAGAAGAGGCGTTATTTAAAAAAAATTGTACATAGATTATTAATATTTATAGTTATCGAAAAAGTGCGAAAAAACGAAAAACGTAAGACACTTAAAAATAACAAATACACGCTCTAGTAATAAGATCGTTAAAAAATGCCTTGTTTCGTGATCATAAGATTCCGTCTGATTACATGACGGAAGTTAAAGGACGAATCATCGATATAAATAAATCAAGGCATTTGTTTAAATAACGTGGTCACAAAAAAAAAAAGAAAACAAATAATAATGACGTTATGTGATTCTCTAAAAGTTTCGGGGATCTAACTGTTTATAGCGATATAAACTAATCATTACGATAATTATGCGTACAGTTTAAAAAAAAGTATCGTGTGTAATATTATAGATATTGTAGAATGCGAGACGACGCTACATAAAAAAAGAAATCCAAGTTAAGAGCAAATTTAAACGGATCTCTACCATTACTCAAAAATTATTTAATTATTTATTTATTGCGACGTATAAACGAATCTCTATTACTGACGTACGAATATGACCGTAAAATAAGTTGCCCTAATTTAATCGATATAATATGAAAAAAACTAACTTTTCCTTTTCTTTATAGAGATTAATTTGTAGGAATATTAGTAAAATGACATACCGAGAGGGCAAAAGAACAGATATCTTTGGCTTTTGGCAGCACAAGCTTGCTTTTTCTTTTTTTTTTTTTTTTTTTTTTTTGCACGCAAATTAGAATTGCACTCTGGTGCTTTCCTGTGATATAAAATGTAAGATTATTTAAAAAATTGCAATTGTTTTCCATCATATTTGTAAAAAAAAATAATATAAATTATAAATCAATTTTTTTTATGAATTATAAATTTATGAATAAAGCAGGGATTTGTTTACTACAATACATTTTTCAATAAAATAAAACAAAAAAAAAAATTCTTATTTGTTGAGAAATTATGAAGAAACAAATATAAAAGCAGTTTGTCCGTGCCAAAGTGCTTAAATCAAAAATTAATATTATGTAAAGATATTGCAATTTCTGATTTTGTACCTATCGAAATTGAAAAAAAAAAAAATGTTTTGTATCCTTGTTTCATCGTCCTCTCAATTTATCAGCCATATACGTCGTTATGTTAGAGAGAACTAATTTGAGATCTCTCTTGAAAAGAAAAGAAAAAAAAGTAAAATATTCGTGCCATGGACCAGGCTAAATTCGAAAATCCTGGTGCCTTCAAAAATATACTTACTTCTGTCAAGTAATCAGGCTCTTTAAATTGTTTCGTTTATACTGTAAAGTCATCTTAAAAAATGTATATTATTATATAATTAACGACCATATGCAATTTAAAAATTGTAGATATTTTTCATCGATACAAGATTGCAATGTGATGCAATGATTCTGTTCTTGTAGATATCGCGAAGTATAAAAGAGGATTTTGTGTGAATAGGTTTTTTCTAAAATTGATTCTTTGTAAAAGGGTCTAATAATCATAGTTTCTATCAAATCTGTCGTTTCTAGTACTTCTACCAAGCCTGAAACATTTTACAATTCATAAAGACCTCAGAAAAAAATGTCAATCATTTATAAATAGACACTGCCACTATATTTCATGACAAATTTTTAATTATTTGTATTTCTCTAAATAATTATGCTTACATTACATACTTATTAGTAAATAATATTTCTTCTGAAGTCTTCATGCCTTATATTTAATACGATCATGTGACAATGTTTAAGAATACATATTTTTCATCCGGGGTCATCAGCCTTCAGGTACCAATTAATAGCAATATACTTATCACGTGTGAAATTGATATATTTCAAAAGCAGAACTTGCAGATCACGAACGGTGTTTTAATCATCGACAAAAACGTGAATTGTCATAAACACCGTTGTGAACAAGTGTATTAAATTTTTGAGTGCATACACTTCCCTGTCAATATGATCGAATGAATCGGTAAAAATTGCTTAATATATTAAGACGACCAACCAGGATGAACTGAGTTTGGTCAAATTCAGTTCTTATTTTATATGTACAAAAAAAGTTGCTATCGAGAACTGCTTGAGCTTGATCTCGTGTAGCGACGATGCCGATGTCGTGGATTATTTGGGGGACTTCGCGATCGAGTTCTTGGTCTACGTCTTGGTGGCCGTGGGCTTCTACGACGATTAATTGGTGGCGAACGTCTACGATAACGAGGAGGAGTATTTCTACCACCACCACCCCATCGTGGGGGTGCTCTTCTTCCCATTAAAGGTGACATTCTCCGCATCGGTAATGGTCGTGGTTTTGGTAATAATACTGGGGCAGCAGTAATTTCTTGGCCATCTATCTGTCCTGTAAATATCGTAAAATAATTGTTAAATGACGTCGATATCTGTTAAGACAATAAGTGAAAAGAGTTTCGAAATTTTATATTTACCACCATCCATATGTTTCATTGCATTTTCAGCTTCATCTGCTGTTTCAAATTCCACATAGGCAAACCCTCGTCCTTGATTTGGATGAAGCTTATCCATTGCAAAATCGACCATTTTTATCTGACCATATGTAGAAAAAATTTCCATAATGTGTTCCTTAGTAACATTACGGGTTAGATGTCCAATATGTATTTTTGTTGGTCTAGGAATTGGTGATCTTTCCCTACGTTTTCTACGTGGTGAAGGTGATCTATATGAAAAATCAAATGAAATAAAAAAAAATTACAAATGGAACTATTGTTCACATCATTTGATTAATATTTTTACCTAGAGCGTCCTTTGGGTTTTGGTTTATCAATTACAGAATTACTACTCTTCTTTTTATCTTTTTCTCTATCTCTATCTCTGTCCCTGTCTCTATCTCTTTCTCTTTCTCTTTCTTTTTCTCTTTCTTTTTCTTTATTATCATGTCTACGTGAAGCATCAACACTTTTGCTTCTACTTCGTTTTCTCCCTCTGTCTCTAGAGCTTCCAGAAGAACTTGCTGAACTAGTAGAAGTAGTACTAGATGTAGAGCTTGATCTGGAACTACTTCCACTACTTGTAGATGATGATCCTGAGCTACTATCTGAGGAACTGTAATATATGAATAATAGAAACAAAATGTAGATATAATTTTTCCTTTAATTTTTAGTATTACGAACTAAAGATATTTATTTTCTTACCTACTGCCACTACTAGATGTAGAGCCAGCCCGCTTTTTTCTATCTCTTTCTCTACCTCTTTCCCTCTTATTTTCTTTATCAGTGACTTCGGTGTCGCTTTTACCCGTACTATCTTTACGACTGCGTGCCCTATGTTCACATGAAAACACCCGGTAATAACGAGGTTACAATTCAATGAGAAAAACAAGACCAAAACAATTAAAAAATAATACACATTACTTACATCATAGTATGGTATAAATCTTCAGGTTATAGGCGTGGTTTCGTTCCTATAAACGACAGAAAACTTTGTTGAACGCCGTGCAAACGCCAATAATGGCGGACGGTGCCGCTAAAAGATCGTCGCCTTTTCACAGAACGCGTTCTCACTATTAATTACGTATTAAACGATATTGCGTGCAAACAATATATGACACCAACAATTAAGAACTTTATTTTATCAACGAATCATAATGGAATAATATACAAAGTTTATGAACTATACACAAAATTACCAATAAAATAACGCGGCGCTGGTGTCGTTATTCCCGCCGGGTTGCGACCATATCACCTGAAAATCCTACATAAACCTATGAAAATCTGACCATACCATAAAACGTCCATTTTAGAAGATATTAAAGTAATCGCAAGATAAACTACTCGACTATTTTTTGTTTTAATATTATTTTTTCATTATAATTATATTGTATCATAATAAACATAACGACTAATATAAAAATTATTAGTATTACTTAAATTATTAAATTATTTTAAGATCATAAAATAATTGTAGTTTTTTTTATAGGCTTAAAAAATGATTTTTAATTTATATTTTACTTATATTATACTGATATATATTTGTATACTTAAACTAAAAATATGCATGCAAACTATACATTTCATAATTAATAAATTTTACTTACTTCAAAAACATGATTTTTTGGAACTAAAAAAATTATTAAAGTTACCTATTTTTAACATTTTATAACTTGCATCCACGTGTAGATTTCAATCACCATTCATAAATTTAAAAGGCTATTTATAATCTTCTTTATGAACACTTTATAGTGTGCCGCGCTTTTCAAATTTGTATTTTAATAGAATTCCATATTTAATCTCTTATATTAAAAATATATCAATCTAATAAAAAATTAAAAGAAAGATTTTCTAGTTAATCAGAGTACAATTAGCTTATATTTCATGAGTTTTATTTTTGTAGATTGCTGCAGCGATACGTAAGTACCGAAATGTATATGTATGTACATTTAAGTGATAATAACGAATTTAATATTTATGTACAAGTACACCAAATTATAAATACTAAACATTCGTCACATCTTACACATAATCCCCTAAAGCAATCCATTTTAATGTTGTACCGATTCTTCGTTTATTTTTATTTATTTTTTTTTTAAAGTGCTTTTTATATAAATACTACGTAATCAGAGTGAAATATGGAAAATCGTACGTATGTTTATTTGTTTTGGCACAGCTCATTGTAAAGAAAAATAAAAATATATATAACTCGAAAAAAATAAGAAATAATTAATAAATCGCGTTTTATCAGTAGCGCCAACATTGGAAGAAATGTTTCTAATAATCTGTTGTATATCCACTGTTTCTGTTATCAAGAATATCAGATATTGAAAAAATGTCCTTTTAGTTTGGAAATATTCGATGTTTGATAAGCCTTTTAGCTGAACGATATGTGCTATTTGACAATAATAATTCGATTATCAATTTATCGCAAGGTAACTGGGCACGCAATATTTCACGATTACCTTACGAATATACAGCTCGCAATTATTCATTAAGCCTGCATAATTGGTAATGTTGGTCTCGCATACAAGTACATAATACAGAAATCGACATGCAATTTTTTTAAAAGCGGGATATATTACAAACTTAACAATAGCAGTAGATATACCAATAAATTTATGCAATATATATATATTACAAAATTGTATTCTCCTTATTCTTGTTAACAAAATCCATTATTCATGTTTAGTATTTTTTTATTCTATTATCGAGTACTTAGATCATCCATCATTGTAAACATTTGAAACATGCCATTTGCTTTCTCATCTAAATATTTTAAATATTCTCCTGGTATACATCCATTCGTCCATCCATGCTTTTTCTTTTAACATTCACACAGTTTTCTTTCATATATTCTTTTTAACTATTTTTCTTTTTTTTTTTATTTCATAAAAATTAATTGATCATATTAGTGGTCACATCGATAAAATCATCATTTATAACAAACAAATGAAATTATTAATCATTAAAGTCTTATATTTGTTTTATTATTTACGTATAAATATTGTTAAATATGTATATTAAAAATTTGCTACACATTTCATTTTACACGATTATTTTACACAGAATTTGTTATTCTATCCCGATAATGACTTAAATCGATTAAGTAACGTTTTATTAACTGGACACGAACTCTTCTTGCATCAATAAAGGTAGGACATTATACTAACAAGTTCGATTTTTATCCCGTTTGTCGCTCTACTTTCATTTGTATGATTTATTGTACGAAACAAAAAACGAACACGATTGTAGGTAAAAATAGAGCTTAGAAATACGCAAAAATAATTCCTATATTTTTTGTTATTTGTCTAATCATATATTTTGATAAGTAAAGAAGAAAAACAAAAGGAACGAAAATTAATTGATATTTAATTTTTAGAATTGAGTCATATCGTCACGGTATAAAAATCTAATTTGACTTTATACTTTATACTAAAAAATATAATTGTATATGTTGCTAAACGAAACAAAAGTTGATCATTAGCAATTATTGTTGCTTAGCAATTATTATTAAATGTTTGGAATTATTACTTCGTTGACGGTTTTGTGACTTGATTTTTTCAATTATCATCGATCCAAGCGCTTCTTCTTGTGGATAAATAAACACATTTTATCTCATATACATATTAAATCGAATACTTTTTAAACAATAATTAAACCAACAAATTTTGCTAATAACGTGACACAACAGTCTTATATTACGATAGACTCGATGTTGAACTTAATATTTTTATTGATTTGATGTTCGTTTGAGTTCAACATGAAATATGGAACTTAATGTGTTTTCCATTGTAAATTACAATGAAAATCATAAATACCAATTTTTTTTTGCCAGAAAATTTTTGTCTATCGATTATCATTTCACTGAATATATTTTAATATTGTTCATGATACGCATTGTACACTGAGGGTATCACTAATAATATGGATGAATGATGACTGCGTTTAACGTCTTTGTTCCCTTTAGGAAAATAATTGGCCTTGTTCCACATTATTTCGATGAATGTAGAGTATGATAAATATGAATTAACATTTGGGCCGGAAAAGTTTTATAATATCCCGACCTAATATCATTTGACGTAGACTGTTTAGCTGCTTCGATACGAAGATTCAGACGGATATCTCGTAAGCGGCGTATATTCTTTCCTCTTTGGAACAGGAGACGCGCAATGACGGTAATTCTTGTACAATCTCCGTCCAACTACAGGATGGTGCGGAGACCGTAAAGGTGGGCTATACAGATATCTCATAGTTCATATCGTAAACACTAGCGCGATCAGGTGTTGGAGTTGTGGGCCGTTGTGATCTGTTATCATTAGGCGCTGATACCATCTCCATAGAATCCGTCATTTCCAAAGCTCTAACGAAAGACATTGGTCTACGTCGAGTATCGCTCGATGTTGGAGTAGTTGGCGTTGCCATTGTGGCTTTTCGCTTCACTTGTGGCGATTGATGCGGTGGGAAGACTGGTACTCCACCCCTCATTGCAGGATGATATGCCGCTCTAGGAGCATTAGCGTACAATTGTTGCGTAGGACTTGTTGGATTAGAACGGTAATAATCGTATGATGGTGGAGGTCTTTGCGAGGGCGACTGATGTGTCGTTGCATTTGTCGTTCCACTTGGAACAGGATAGCTGCCTGGAGAATTATCTTTCCACATATAGACACCACGTTGAGGTGAACCCGCTAATTCTCGAATATTGTCGACAGTATTATTAGTTCTTGAGTACGAATGATCCGTACCTTGACGAACAAGCTCACTTTCTGACAAGAAACGCCGCTGCGGACTGTAACCAGTTACGACAGCACCACTAGCAGCACCAATACCAGTATTATTTCCTTGCTGTACATCATAATAAGTTGGTGCGTCGTTTACTCCTATAAAATCTGGCCGACGAACCTGCGTCGGTGTACCTGGATTTGATCTGTAACAGAGATAAAATATTTTGACCTCTGTGCTTATAAATTTCGTGCTTGATAATTGAATACTTGACAAATGCACAATAATACAGTGAACCAAGATGAATATGCGAGTGCTGAGCATTGTAGCCATACAAATACGGCTCTGGCGAGACATAGAGGAAAGAGAGAGAACAGCGCATCATTCCTATTATAAAAATTAGCATCTATCCAAGAAAAAGTAAAACGTAGCGAATCTAGGATATACATGTGTGGACATTTACTTGCGTGTTGATTAACTGATACATCTATATTGATATTTGTACACAAGATGTTTCACCAGTTCTATCTATCTTAAATATTTCTATTACTTCAAATAAACATTGTTTATAGAGATTATATAATTGCATAAAATATAATAACAACAATGTATAATAACAATTTTTTTCAAGATACATAAAAAATTTACAAATCAATTTTATTTTCTCTAAATAAATATCTAATTTTTTACAAATAAATTTATAAAATAATAAATTTTGAATATAAAAGTATTATATCCATTCTATAATTATTCTTCATATTTTATATATTTCACATATATTATTTTTTTGCCTAATTTTTTGAAAAATAAAAATTGATTTTTTAAATTTCTTTTATTATTTTCTAAATAAAAATTATCATTATGTTTTTCTTGTACTTATACAATTTTTATTCATATATTATTATTCATATATTATTTGAAATAATAAAATATTTAAAGTGGATAAAATTAGTGAGACACATGTACATTTAGACTGAAGTATGCGTTTTTCTTAAATATACATATATATATACATATATATTAATATAATGAGAATAATAATAATAATAATATATGTATATATAAAGAAAGATATATATGTAAGGAATATACGCAAGAAAGCATAACTTTAAACTACGATATGTCCTCGTAGGATGAAGTTCGTGTTTACCTGCAGTAGGTCGCAACATGATGGTAGAAAGCAGCTCCTTGCAGTTACCACCCCCTGCAGTGGGACACAAACTTATCTATATACCATATATCTTGTAATAATGTACATGCAGAGAAACTAATTCTCTACGATATTATTGTGATCTACAACGCGCAACATTTCTTTTTTGTCACGTTCCTTCGTCATTCAGAAGGTGAGAATACTGACAAAAAGGTGAGAGAATAAAGGAAGAAAGAATAAGAGCAAGAGTGAGGTGTTCATAGTGAAGGATAGGGATTTGAAGTAAACAGGCTTCACATCATATTGAGAGGTAGCAAA